TTTGGTAGTGAAGTATATGCACATATACCAAAAGAGAAACGAAGAAAATGGGATCAAAAAGGTAGAAAAGATATCATTGTTGGATACTCAGAAGAAACCAAAGGATATCGTTTATACTTTGATGGAAGAGAAATTTCAATAAGCAGAGATGTCATATTCAAAGAGTCAACAAGCCCATCTACAGCTACACAAGTAATAATCATAAATGAAGAACAAGAGGAAGAAGTAAATTCGGAAGGTGAAGATGAAGATGAGGAAGAAAACAACGACGACTAAGAAAAATTGGATGATGATGAACAGATACCAATAGGAGCTGAAGAGCAAACAAGAATGACACTCAGAGACAGAGGAAAACTCAATAAACCTATAAGGTATAGAGATGCATTATTTTCAGCATGTAATGATCYAGTTACATACGAAGACGCTATGACAGGTGACAATTCAGATGATTGGAAGGCAGCAATGAACGATGAAATGTTGTCATKGAATAAAAATAAAACATGGACACTTGTGGACTTGTCTCAAAATAAAAAATCTATCAATAATGGTTATACAAGATTAAATACAAAGCGAACGGAGATGTCGATCAGTAAAAAGCAAGACAATTTGAAATTAAAACAGCATTCTTATATGGACATTTTGAAAAAGACATTTATATGAAACAACCAAAGGGTTACGAAGATGGAACAAAATTAGTATGCAAACTTCAACGGAGTCTATATGGGTTAAAACTGGTACCCAGGTGCTGGAACAAAAAGTTCACAAATATGATGATGAACTTTGATCTAAAGGAAACAAAAGCAGACTCTTGTGTATTTGTAAGTTATAAAAACAATCAATTACTAATAGTCATTATTTTTGTAGACGACGGGCTAATCACAGCAACAAACAATGAACTTGTGGACATAATGGTGAAGTATCTAAAGGACAACTTTCGAGACGAATGAAAATGAACTTGATTATTTCTTGGGTATTAAAATTGATCAGAGACCTGATGGTTCAATTTTTTCATACATCAATCTTGATATTGCAAGCGCATTTTAGAGAGGTTCAATTTGGAAGAAGCCAATGTCCTGCATATTCCCACAGATCCACAACATTCATTAGATCCAAATTTGTTAGGATCATTGGAAGCAGGGAATTTCCATACAGAGGATCAGTTGGAAGTTTGTTGTATCTAAGCCAAATAACAAGGCCTGATATAACTTTTGCAGTAAATATTGTCAATCGTTTTCTAGAAAAGCCTCTGACCATTTACTTGAATGCGGTGAAGCGTATATTTAAATATTTAAAGGGAACGTTTAATTATGATTTAATTTATGATTCTAGAGCAATACCTGCAAAGTTCCGTGGATATAGTGACGCAGACTATGCCAGTGACACGACAACGAGACGATCAACGTCAGGATTCATTTTTATTTTGGGAGATGGAATCGTAGCATAGTGTTTACAAAGGAAAAAATCGTAAGCACTTTTGACTACTGAAGCAGAATACAAAGCATTGAGCCAATCGATACAGGAACTTATTTGGTTGACGCTACTTATCAGTGATCTTCTGGAGACACAGGGAGATCCACCTGTTTTGTATGCAGACAACCAAAGCGCCATCAAACTAATGACAAATCCAGGATACCATAAGCGAACAAAACACATCGATGTTCGCTATCATTAAATTCGTGAGAAGTTCAGTGAAGGGATGTTTTCTCAAAAGTATGTGCCAAGCAAGGATCAGTTAGCTGACATATTAACAAAGCCAACTCCACGACAAAGATTCCAGGAACTCTGGGAGATGTTGGGAATTAGGTATATTAATTCTAAGTTAGAGTATATTGTTTAAGGGAAAGTGTTGAATGTAAAAAACACACACACTGTAGTACAGCAGACGCTGAATACGCATTTTGTTTTACCATAGCATATTCCTAACCTTCTGTGTAGTAGCCTGTAGGACGATAAGTCGTTGGTTTATATTACACGTCGGAGCACTATAGTTATTCATATCAATTATACATAATATTATATTATTATATTATTACATATATTTGATCTTATTATTATTTAATTTTAGCGTACTTCAACAAAAAATTAATATGGTTTACTGCGAAATCGTATTTTATGTTTGAAAGCAAATTTTTTAATTATTTAATTTTAAGACGCTTATAAAATATATTTGTGATATTATAATTAATTGACTTTTTTAAAGGGTATTTCTAAAAGATAGATTTGTATGAAGCCTTATATTTATTTTATTTTTAATCATTGGTATGATGATGGCTATGAAACCTTGAAATTTTCGCAATTTTACTAAATTTCGTTAAAATTTTAACTTCAAAAGCTTATAAAAACCTTTCGAAAATATATGGGCTGGCATATAAACAACTTACATATTAATAACCCTATAATGTTTAAATTGTCATGCTCTTTTCGTGAAAACAAAAATATTTACTAAAATTAATTTTTAAAAAAAAACTGAAATTCAAGCGAATATGTGTATCATTCTTCTTTACAGTACGAGTCAAATTCTAGAGTGTTTCACTATTTAATGGATGTCTTAAAATTGAAATCAATGATATATTGGTATATCATTATATTCTAAAAACGATTTGGAGCGTTGATAGTCAGTCTATGTCTATGTTTAATTTTAGATTATATTTTTGGTTACTGTTTTGACTGATGAATAAACCTTGTATTTAATTTTCAAGTGTTTTTTTGTGACTTTTTATTTTAACAAAGATTATTTTTTTAAATAAACTATCGAAACAAATTTGTACACCTATAAATAACTCATAAAAAAATGAATTAGGTCACGTTCACGTTTTTTTCAAACGAACGCGTTCACGTTCACGTTCTTTGAAAAAATGAACGCATTCATAAGGTCGTTATCTAATTTTTTGTTTATAAATAGTTTACCAGCAGTTTGTATAAAAACCCATAAACATATATGTCTCAACCCAAAAATAAAAACAATTTAGACTTTAGAGCATATACATTTTTTAAAGTATCTCAAGGCTGGGCAAGTTAATGATTTTTTTTAACTCAGTTAAGTTAAATTAAAATCTAAATCAAGTTAATAGTTAAAAGTTAATTCAAAATGTTCTATCAATTGAATTAAGTTAAGAGTTAACCAAAATTTAATATTAACTTTTTAACTCAAGTTAAGTTAAAAAAAGTTTCTTGTTTTCTTATAGGTAAAATTAAAATAATTGGTATCTAAAATTGTTCATGTTATTAGACCAAAGAACTATTACTATTTTATGTGTGCAAAAGCTAACAGTACACATTTTGTTAGCATATAYTTATAACCTTATAAAATGTGTACCTACCAGCAATTTGTATTCCTACAATAGTTCACAAAATTAAATTAAATTAACTTAACTTGTTTAAATGTAAAATTAACTCAAGTTAATTAAAAGTTAATTCAAAAGCTCCTAAAGTTATTAATTAAGTTAATTAACATAAAAAAAATAACTTATTAAGTTAAAAAGTTAAATTATCTTAACTTTAACTTATTAACGCGTTAATGCCCAGCCTTGAAGTATCTAAATTATAAACATGTTATATTTATTAAATACAGTAAAGTAATGTAGTAAATAAATTGAGCGTCTTCAAAATCGTTCAAATTCATTAAAAATATAAACGCCGTTCACGTTCACGTTCTATTTTTAAAAAAATGAGCGACGTTCGCGTATCGTTCACTAATTATTATGAACGTGAACGTGAACATGCGTTCATGAACGACGTTCTTTCCAAACACTGGATATTAATATGTTGAAATATTTTAATTATAATAAATTAATTGTTTACTTATATCAAAATTCATAAAAATTATAATAATAATTAATAATCATAGTTAACAAAGTATCCAAGTATAAGTTTGTATAAAATATTATTATTTTTTGATTCCCACTTAAAAAAAATTTTGCCGGCTCTAAATAGAGAGAATTCAATTCCATAGAATATATCATTACAATAAACAATATTTTTAAGTTATGAATAAGAATTAACATTCCTTATGAAATTTTTAAATGATATCAACTTTTTAACATAAATTTCCATATTTGTATACAACTATTAATACCCATTGGCCAATGGCCATTATATTATTTGGAATATGTAAAAAGAATATTTTAAGTTTTAATTAAACCACTTTAATCAACAAAACAAATTAACACGTAGTTGCATGTTTTCAAAGTAAAAGTGTTGATTAAGTGGGAAATTCTACTATACCTACTGTCACCTACTATTAGTTACTGTATTTTAAAACTTTAAGTCTATGTATATTATAAAATAAGAAGCATTTATGGATAGATTTATTCTCAACATACTTAGTATATATACGTTTAACGGGTTTTAAGACAAGGTAAATCCAGGGGAATTATTGACTTTGTTACTGGAAACGCAGTACTTAGATACTAGTAGGTAGTACCTATTAGGAAGTAACTTTAGTTGCAAGTTAAAATGTAACAAAATTACTTTTCATCGTAAGTGCGTGTTATACACTTAAGCGCAATTTAAGTATTTGGTGTTTTGTTTTTATTAGATTTTAAGAACCAATTTATACTGTAGGAACGTAAATATTTCATAAAAGTTCGTTTTTCTGATAGTATTTATATACGTTTTCGCAATAGTTATATGACAAGAAAAAAGTTATTTTTAATATTTAATTCCGAATTCATATTATAAATTTTATCATTGCAAAATAAAAATTGTTACTAATTCCATATTATTTTTATTGGCATTGGATAGTTATTTTATTGACAACATAGTTTTATAAAGTTCCAGTGTGATATATTTGGAGAAAAAAGTGACTATAATTTTATATTTATTTTAATGAAGTTACCTTATTTTAACTTAAAAGTAATGTAATTTAATTACCTACCAAATAAAAGTAATTTTTCCAACACTGGTAACTAATATGTATATCATATTATTGTGTTGTGTCTTGTGTTAATATATTTTATAAAATAATGTAAATAAAATAAAATTTTTTTTTTTTCGACAAGGTTCCAGAGTTGGCAAAGGAGCCAAAAGCAGTGTGACCCAATTTGTCAATGATGTGGGAACGGTATCGACTTTTGCAGCCACAGACGACGAGATCACAAATTCAATTTCCACGCTAATGGAAAAGTTAATGAGTAACCCCAAAGCGAGCGCAGCCATGGTGCGTTTGGTCCTCACTGTTTTGGACGGCAGTCCGTCTACGTCATGCTTGCTAGACCAATTGCCGTTGTCTCCTCAAGACGTACGGATGGTGTTCGATGTATTCGTGGGCAGCAACGGACAAATTATGTTAAAAACTATTGCGGGGCTGGTGTCCGACTTGACCACGGGACCAGATACGAAAGCATTTTTAGAATCGGTTTTGGGAATGATGTCCATGTTCAAAAGGTATTGTGTATAATGCAGTTGTAACCAATCACCGTCTGACATCTCGACTATTAAATTCAGTTTTGTCCGATTGGTGGTATAATTACTGAATTAGGTAGTTCGTATTTGGGTACAGATCAGTTTGTGTTATGGCCGACCGGTGTTACGACTTGTTAAATATCGGTAGTGCACTGGTGCTACATGTGAAATATTTTTATAGGGCCTACAGGTATTTTTAAATGTATTATTCAACTTCAATGTTTGTCAATTCTTCTAAATATTTGTGACTATATCTAATCCGTACATAATTTAGAACATATATGAATATACGACATTGGTTTCTACTGTTTCTAATTTCTTACAGTGCTTATAGATTATAACCAAACATCAAAGGAACAGATAACAACTTTATGGGTTAATCCCCCAAAAATCGTATATAGGTACCTTATAATATAAATATGAAAATATAAGAATATACCTATTGTGTACCTATTGCCGTATTGGTTGATATTTCCTCAACTGACTCAAGTAGAAAACTAAAAGAAAGGTAGAATAATTTTAATCCGGGTGAAGTCTGATATCGAAGCTAGAACCTACATAATATTATGTCATAACAGGCATACGGCATGCTCATAAATCGTGAATATTTTTTAATTATTTTACTATTTTATATTGAATACATTTTAAAATACATTAAATTAGAACTTAGGGCGATGGAGTGACTTAACAAACAAATTGGTTAAAAAAAATAACTTATACCTGACTTATAACTAGGTCTGAAATACAGATGAGATGAGACAGGAATATCTACACTAAATACCTACATTTGAATTTGAATCTTAAGTTTATTACGTTACATATATAAAATAAACTTTTACGTCCTAAGCACGACGTTTTCATTTTTAAGTGCGATCGTATGGTTAACAACGGAAAAAGGTGTTAATATTATAATTATTCATTTTTTTTTACATTTTGTTCCAGTGACACTCCAGAGTCAGCGGGCGCCGATCATTCGGAGAAGCCGACGTCTATTGTTGGTTCACTCAMTAGTTTCTTTACGGGCAGGGAAGACGAGGGAGAAGATGATATTGAAGATGAAATCACTGAAAAGTATATACCACCTCCATTGGTCAATAATAGAAAAAAGAGTAGCAGTACTGATTTCAACGGAAACATATCGAAACCATCTGCAAAAAAACCATCCAAACATAAGTTTGACGATGACGATTGGTTCAGTAAAAACGAAGACACGTTCGAATCACTAACGAAAAAAGAAAAAGTCAATGGAGACCCTTGGTTCAGCGATGTCGGAATTGAAACTAATAAATTACAAAAAAAGCCAGCCAAATTTAAATCAGACGATAGGTTCGAGAGTAGTCGTGCCAATAGCGTCAACAGAAATTTTCAGAGAAGCAATAAAAAAAATGAAGTTAGGAAGAAATTAGAGTCTCTAAGTAATAACAATAAGGACTTCATTGATGATTCTAAATTGAGAAGTGTAACGAAAAATACAAAAGCTGTAGCTGAAAAGCAAAACACGGACGAGGAAGACGATTTCAACATATTTGAAGATGACTTATAATAAGGGACTTTATCCCCCAACCTACAGTTTACAGAATTCACCTAAATAAATATAATTGTTTTGCATATCTCGATTTGTACTTCTTACTTTGCAAATTATAATAAAACATAATCTATATATAATAGCATTGCAATAACACGCATCCCATGATATTATTTACTATAGGTATACTTAGTGTGTTATCAAGCACATAACTTTTTTTTTTAAAGTAACCATTTTTGAAATTCTTTAACGAAGGACCATAATATTTTTTAAATTCATGAGATTTTATAGCAACGCATGGCATGGACTACAAGTTACAACACGATATATCATTTAAAAAAATATTTTTGTTTATCTCTTATACTATAATATTATTTTTATTCAATTGATGAACTAAAACAAAATTCAAATTAATCACTCTCTAGAAATTTATACTTTATAGTGATTGAAAAGTAAGCTGAAATCATCCTCAAAGTCTCAATGAATTGATATGCCTATCATTGAAATCATTCACTATTTTTAAAAATTAGCCATTAGCTAAAATTGATTTTACATTTATATACATAATAATGATCTATTATCAGTATTATCTATCTATATATAAAATTACTTGTCCTGGGTGATTCATCAAGATTCATCATCACCTAGTTGGAACCACGCGCTGAAGCTATGAGTATGAAAATTGGGCAATAGTTTCGTTTTGTAAAATAGGTACCAACTAAGAAAGAATATTTCAAAATTCGGCCCCTAAAGGGTTAAAAGGATTAAAAATTACAAAAAATTACAGAGCCAAAACCACTGAAGCTAGGAGTATGAAAACTGATTAAAAAATTTTTTACCATTAGAAAGCTACACAATCCCTTGAATCTATAGGCTATATTTTATCTTGATAAGTAGCCTTTAATTTTTTTATTGAAAATTTGAGATTTTTATAGAAATAATAAATATTATGATATTAAATAATTCTTATTTATTATATGGTTGCTATTAGCTATACAATTTAGTATGGATGAATAAGAAATTAGCAATTTGTTATAAGATATCAATTTAAAAAAAAAAAGCGGGTAAGCCGTAGATGTCGCTCTGTTGTACAGTAGGTTACAAGTGGGTTACTGTAATAGATGGAATTAAATTTGAATCCAATGATATTATATCATTGTATACGAAAAACGATTCTGAGCGAAGACGGTTTATCTGTCTAGGATATATTATTAAACATTTTCAAATCTTAGTTTTAAAAAGGAAAATTTTTATGAATTTCTAGTTTGAAATAATTTGCGAATTTTCGTGATTTTTAC